CCTGCTTACCAGGCTGTCTCACTAAGCAGGCCAGCCTGGACAAGAGAAATTCATCCCGCTTACCAGGCTGTCTCACTAAGCGGGCCAGCCCAGCTTCCATATAAACACAAAGGTTCCAACCGACTAATTTATCAAAGCATCAGAAATTTCATTACCCTGCTGGCAAGAAATATTCATGAAAAATACAGCTGAATTCGTCAGTAAAACTTCGCTCTGCTTGTCTATGAATATTATGATTACTGATTAGGTTCATTGTGTCAACAAAATAACTGGGATTTGTATATTTGTATGTCCACCTAGTATACTATAGCCAAACTGAGATTTGTGTATTTATTTGTCATGCTTAATTAAAACTCGTATTTTTCAACACAACTCTGCAAATTAAAATGCTTAACAACGTTTACTTCATCAACATTCAATGACCAAAGAGAATATACTGGACATGCATCCAAACCCTTTATTAAAGCAGAGCGAACTCAAGTTAAATCTGTGAACTCTAGCTGACAATTTAAAAAGATAGCAAATTGAAATGTCGGATTGCCAGTCGATAAAACACCACAAGACAAATTCTTGATGCTTTGATAAGTACCTTTGATGATAAATGTAATAAAAATAACACAACACCACCGATTACCTTACATTAAACCGCAGGAAAAACCCCAAAACAACAGCTAAAATCTCCTTCTGTCTTCGCAAAATATGGAAAGCACATGGAAACACAAAGACGCCGCACGAAACCGGAAACCGAGGCAAATGCCATGAACACGAAAGCGAGGCAAATGTTACATCCAAAAATCTCAAAAGGACACAGCATCCAGCCGTGACGTCACGATTAGGAAGCGTTCTCCTTCGTCGAACGCAATAATTTAAATAATTTAAAGGTCGGGTTTGCACCATGTCAAACACGATCCAAAATTCACCCAGGAGCACCCAATTTTCGTTCAAAGGCTCGGTACTTCGATCTATTACAGTATAGATATTGCCATCACAAAATGATCGATCATGTCAGATCTGGCAATATGTTAGACTGCACAGAGGGGTTTGTTAAAGACAATTGAAAATACATGACCTTGTGGTTAACAAGCAATGTCAAACAGTCAGCATGGTTTTTAACAACCGACCCTGCATGATGTGGTCAACATAACAACATCAATATTGTTCGTTTTCCTTTCCAAAAAACATTTACATTCACACCTTATATGTTCTTATCTTTGCAGTGATGAGTTATTTGCCCATGTCCTACTTCCCTTCCCAGATGCAGGCACATGGCAATGTTCTGTGGTTGACCTCTTACTAGTAAGGCAATCATGCAATCAGGCCAAACCCAATATCTCCTGGGGCGATATAGTATTGGCGTGACTCGCATTAACACGCGCTATAGATATGCGTATAATATACATAAGTAAAGCCCCGTAGAGACATGCAATTTTTCCTTGACAACTTTTATTTAATTGTTCGTGTCTAAGGCAAAAAATTGACAATAACTCCTTAGCAAGCTAGGAGAAGCCTTGTTCCAAAGCTAGTCATGCCAGCTTTTGGACAAGAAAAATTTGTTTCCAGTCAAGGAAAACTTGACAAGTGAACAAGAAATATTTCTGGCTGTAGTGGACTGGAACACAGGCTATGGCTATTATGTCATACAGCACCCTATGCTCATGTGATTGTCACTTTGATAATCTCAAGACAATACATTTTTAACGGTTTTGATAAGATAATTAATTAAAAATTGGCGTTCTTGACCAGTTGCGACCATTGGTTGTTACTGGCAAGTATACAAGCCAGTGACGCCACCATTGCTATGCTTGCTACCATTGATTTAGACATCTAGGATCCCGGACGAAGGAAAACATAAGGACTGCTGTCTACCATTGATTGTATATTCAGTTTGTAATGCCAGATGCTGCACGCAGACCTAGAGTATTTGCAAGGGTATACAACAGGATATTAATAAACCATCAAGTATTGTCTGATCAGCAAGCAGTCACATGCTGTGTGCGTGAAGACAATACAATAAGAGGATTGGTCAATTAGTCAGATAATAAAGTCTGGAAATGTGTCAGAATCGTGACAATAATTATAAGTATCAGACAGGTAGGGCACTGATCGTGTTTTCAAACGTACTTTGTTTAAAAGAAAGTAAAAACGAAATAGATTGTTAAGAAAAAGATCATCTGATAGTGAATATGTGAATATGTGAATTAAAAAGACTAGCTTTTAAGATTGTAAATTTTGGATTTGAAGATTCTCAACATACATTACACAAAACGTTCTCCAGATTTAGGTTCGGGGCAAACACAATACCATGCGATGTTTCTATTCCGATACTAAAGCCGAGTTTGATCAAGATTCAAAATTCATAGTTTTGGTGTAGTTGAACTACAGTAGACAGTAATTTGTAGATTTTTCCATTAAAAATATTCTGAGCAAACATAAGCCTTATATATATACAGTCTAGCATGTGCATGCAAGATAGCAATCCACAGCACAGGATGCATCTTGGAATACTGAAAGTTGAACGCGACTGTTTAATAGTAAGAGACTATGCATTTATCACGTATTGTTTATCTGATATCATTCTCTTCATATAAAGCTGTTATATTCCACATGGACTGTCACATGAAAATCATACATGCACGTTACTCGACAATTCTCTATATATTTAATATCGAGTTCAAGGCTTCACTCTACCATCGTTAGTCCTTCAATGGTTGAGTGTTGGAGATTTATTGTCCATTCAGGGTTGTTATAATGTTCGTTCAGAAAAACAAGTCGGAATATTTAAGTCATCGCAAAAATGGTTGCATTTCGAATTAAAACACTTGTGCCAGGTTATGTGACATGTATTCAGTATCCACATATAGACACAAACTGTCAATGGTTCCCTTCACACAAAGTGTTACACACAATATCTGTTTCACTCATCACTTCGCCTCCACCACACTGTACGTTGCACGACAGCATTTGTTTGTATTTTGACCACAGAAAGTTCACTCCATCATCATCATGAACGTTCACTTCACCCTTTAAGATCACACGATCAAAAATACATCCTGTCACAACCACTAAAATTTCGTTTTTCTTTTCTTCTTGATAAGAGAGTCACGTAGTGCAATCTATATAACGGAAATGCATGTAAAAACCACAGACTATGCATAAAGATAAAAGGTAGCTGGCACATATCTTAAACCTGAGGGTTCAATGTAGGTACTATTTTATGTTGTCGCGGATTTGAACTGAACTATCTGAAAATTATAACAAACACACTGATAAAAACACATCTTCAGATAGATCAGGCGCAAACCATGATAGGTCAATGCAACACAACACGTGTGTTTTTAAGATGTGGGATCCTCTACCAACGATTTGACAAACTCACTGGCCTATTCGTTGCGGGGATTAGAGTGATTGTCAGAGTTTTATTAAGAGATTTAATACGCCACAACAGATGGCAAGTTTATCGACATCAGGTAGTCAAACCCACTACCAATGGATTTTAGTTTAATACGTTCAGTAATTTACTGGCTGACATCAGTGGCGGACACTTCGCGAAATATTGCGGGGGAGGGGCGAATTAAGATGGCCGATTGGTAACTTGAAATCTTAGTTTTTTAGACTTTTTTACCTAATTTATATAGGCTTAGCCTACCAATGCTTTTAAATTCATAGTTGAAAAATTATTGTTACAGCTTTGTTACACTGACGATACTCAGCTATCTTTCAAAGACGTTTAGAAATTATTGCGGGCGGGGGGGGGGGGTTCTTCCAGCCCAGCTTAGTATCCGCCACTGCCTACCTAACATCACTGAAAGATTCCATTGCCGAGAAAGTTACCAGTACAATATTAAAGAGTTAATTAGGAGTCCAAATGTACAGTATCATTCTTCAGATTTATATTTTGTGAAATAATACAAAAATCGTTGCACAATACTACTGTTTCAGAACACCTCCAGACTATAATGCCACAATAATAACATGCATGCATGTACGATGATCCCGTAATAATCACCTGAATGATGATCTCACCTGTTTTTCTCGGAAAGAACGTTTATTTTTTCCCTTTACTTTGTGCTTCACCATCATGTAAGCTTTGTTTTTCTTCTTCTCCTATAGATAAAAATGACCTCGTGCTTGTTAGCGATTAGTACCGAGTACTATTCATTCGTTTGCTAATAATATACATGAAAAAAATTCTCAATTCTAATTGACTATGAGCAGTGCAATTCTTTTGAAATACAGTGCCAAAAAATGAAATACTGCAGTGCAAAAAAAGAAATGCAGTGCAAATTTCTTAATTTTAAAAATTTTCTTAATTTTCTATTTTTCAAATTTCTTAATTTCTTAATATCGTGACTGCATAATTTTTTCATGTATCTTATTAATAAGTAATAGTATGGTTTCTCGTGCACTTTGAAAAAAACATACACTTGTGAGTTTTTCAAATACTCGATAGTCTTTGAAAAACTCACTCGTACATGTTTTTTTCCAAATTGCACTCAAAACCATACTATTACCTATATACATACACACACTATAACATGAATAGTCAACATGCATAGGAGTATAACTTGGCTATAATTATAAGTATAGCTACACCAGCACTCAATATCATGAAAAATATCACAACCTATATTGGAAAAGAACTATACAGATGCCGGTTGAATAGTGGTTGGTAAACTTTGTCGAACTGGAATCACACGCAATAGCATTATTATTATTCTCACATGGAAGCAGTTTTTCCTGCATTTTCATTAATAACTCTTTCGACAAACAATGGTTTGTCGCACAAAACAACGTTTTGTTCTCAAAAACAAGCAGTGAAAACGATTTAAAATATCACAATAACAGCATAAAATATTAGAAATCTCATTTACCTATACTAAAGTTCCGATAAAAATGTCAAAAAGGCATGTAGTGACAATAGGATTTATTTGTATATGTCAAAGTTCGTACCTTATTTGTAGTACTAGTGAATTCGTTGCATCTGTTCTTCTCAAATGTTCGTTTTATGTCACCTCTACCAGCCTAAAATGGGATAAAAAATTTCAGTTTTACCACAAGTCTGACAATAAATTGAAAATGAACTTGAGGAATAACTTCAATGATGTAACATACAGTGCGAATACAAGAAATAATGTATAATATATATATATTATTTCTAAAATAAAATATATAAAAAAATAAGGCGAAAGAGAAGAGAACTCAAAGTAACAAGTATAATTTAT